GGAAGAAATGGTGCACTTTTATTTTTAAATAACTGGCTGGCAACTTGGAATTGATTTAGGTTCAAACTGTTAATATATGTAAAACACTGAACTCAGTGCTTGGCACATCTTGAGTGATCAATAAATATAAATTATTGTTATTTTTAGGAAAACAAAGCTACATTTCCACCTCACTTCTTACACAGAAATAGATTCCCAGTAAATCGAGAGACTGAATGCAAAAATAAATAAATAAATAAATAGATAGATAGATAGATAGATAGATAGATAGATAGATAAATAAAAATAGAACCATTAAATAATCTAAAAGAAAATACAAATGAAAATTTAACAATCTTTGGGTATGGATGGTTTTATAAGCATGCCTTAATAGCAAGATCAGAGAAGAAAAGACTGCTAAATTAGAATACATAAAAATTTAACATTTTTATACTGCAGAAAATACTGCACAAGGTTGAAAGTCAAAAAAGAAGAAACTGGGAGGAAATTACTCATAATATGTAAGACAAAAAGATCTTTGGGAAAACTCAAACACCTATAATAGAAAAACAGGCAAATTATATTAAAAGGTAAGTTACGAAGAGGAAACAAAATGGCCAATAAACATGTGAAACACTGTCCAACCTTGCTAGAAATCAAAGAAATACAAACAAATATGAGAGGCTAGGAAAGATATAAAGGCTGTCAATACTCAGTTATGGAAGATGTGGGGAAATGGCCATCCCTTCATGCACTAGTTATTGGTGAGCACATCTGCTGGGATAGTCTTTTTGGAGAGCAGTTGGTGCTATCTATGCAAATGACTCAGCAACTCCACTTCTAGAACTTACATTAAGGAAACAGTCTGGTAAATATGAAAAAATCCACTCAGCCCAAGGATCTGCACCACAGTGTTGTTTATAAAAATGAAAAAATGGAAACAACCTAAATATTCATTAATAGATTAAATAAATTATGGGAGGGCTATACAATGAATATAGATCTTAAAATGTTAAAGTAAACTAATATTTATTAAGTTTCTGGGGGAAACAAGTTCCTCCTGAGCCCTCAAATAACATGATCAGACTAGAGGTTTGTATTAACTGTAAATTTGGATTATTTGTTATCTCTTCTCCATATTCCTTAACCCCATTCCTGTGTTAATGGGGAGTTGGTTGTTTATATTAGGGGCTTGGAACTAGAGACCATGAACCTCCCAAAGTATAAGCAAAGTTTTATGTGTATGTATATTTTATTGGGAAGAGAGTTAATGGTTTCATCAAAGTCTCAAAAGGTCCCCTAATCCCCAAATGGTTAAGAACCACTGGCATATATAGTTTAACAGGTCAAGGTGTTGTCTAATTTTGCCTTAAAAAGCATATATGGAGAAAAAAAAGCACATGTGATTGTACAGCCCATTCATTCACTATTCAACAAATACTTAGTATTTACCAAGTCTTACCTTGATTGGTAGCCAAATTACCAAAAAATCTTGGAATACATTTCTTTACACATTTTGGAAGTATTCTAAACACACACACACACAGCCTCAAAAAGCCTTCTAGCAGCTATGAGACAAAAAGCTGATCAAAAAGTTTCAAACAAAATTATAATGTTAACTTCTGAAAGAAGTAATTTTTTTTACAGTCTTTTGAATCTTACATATATTTGAGCTTCTTTAAGGAGATGACCTTAATATTTATGGACCAGAAAAAGACATCTTTGTGAAGATAGCCAAATTCTCAGTCAGATAAAGACTAGAACATAAACAAGTAACTAGGTTTAAATGAAGAAAGCAATAATAGATTATTTTATATATTAATTTTAAAAATGTGTTGTATAATTTGACTGATGCCATTTATAAAATATATGATGCTAAATTTGAGGTCCCAAATTTACAAGGCTTATAAAATATCCATGGTTTGATGAAAATAGTCAGACACACATAAGAAGAAACTGGTCTAATGTCACAATATCACAGTGATAAAAACAGATTACAGGGAAAGTCCGCAACTACAAATGAACTGAAACCATAGAAAAACATAATTTGAATTAAATGAGATTATCACATTTTCAGGAGGCAGAAGAGTAAGAAGTGATAAGCAAGAAGAACCATAAAATCAAAAGGATTTATTAATGAAGACATACTGGGAAATATATGTTTATAGCTTTATTTTCAATACATGAAAATATTTATCTTAATTTGAATTAACTATGTATTTAGGTTTTAAAAGCACTTAAAAGATACTACATGATTTCTTTTATGTATTGTTCTCAAAACTGACAAAATAAAATTCTGTTATAGTAAATTTCATTACAATAAGTTACAAGGCATAATCTAGGTTAAGGTAGATTTTTACTGAGATGAATTTTAAATAAAATAAGTAGGTCTTTTGCTGGGCTCAAAAATATGTATTTTTAAGACTATAATTTTATTTGCTGCAAAGTGATAAGACCTAAATAGCCAAACTCCAGAATTCTCCTAAAACATCAACTTGTAATTTATTTTCATTTTTCTTCTTTAACATTTTAAAATGTTAAAATGCTTTTAAACACTGAAGTTAATTACATAAATTAAGGCAGAACACAAGTCTCTTGTTTTAACAATGACATATACTCAAAAGAAAGTATCATTCGCTAGAGATTTCCTTTAGTAGATATTCCCAGATGAATATCATATAAACAATTAGAGAAGTCATTAAGCATGACTAATGGATTATAAGAAAAATAAATCCATAAACCTAGCAACCTTTGTAAGTATCATGAAAGAGAAAGCAGTACAAAAGCAATGCAGAAAATATATTGAAATGATACGATGTTCGGGGTTGTAAGAAGTTAAAATAAACTAGACCAAAATTTTTTTTAAAGTCAAAACAAACCACACACATCTTCAATATGAAATGAATGGTAACTTAGCAGAGCACATAAACAAGTAAAATGATATAATTTCTTTATTATATTCATAAAATATAATTTTCCATCAGCTTATACATAAAAATATGAAGCATTCTACCAAGTATAGGAAATAAGTGCTCAAGTTCAAATTACTTTAACTCTGAAAACACTGAATACAATTTAAATGATTTTAATATAGTTCTTCAACAAAAGATGTCATATAACCATACCAAATAAGTATGCCATGCCAAATATATTTAACACAAACATCACAAACTACTCATTTTTCTGCTCCTAAAAAGGAAATACTAACTGAAAACAAAAACAGGTTTCTCATTCTAAGATCATTCAATACACAAACGTCATTTAAAACATTAGTCCCCCCACCAAGCTTTACTGAGATATAATTGACGTATAACATTTTGTAAATTTAAGGTGCACAATGTGATGAACTTTATTTAGGTATATATTACAAAATGGTTACACAATAAGGTTAGTTAACACATCCATCAACTCACATAGTTACCATTTTTGTTGTGGTGAGAACTTTAAAGATCTACTCTCTTAGCAACTTTAAAATATATAATATAATATTGTTAACTATAGTCACCATGCTGAATATTACATCCCTTGAACTTATAACAGAAGTTTGTACCCTTTGACCACCTTCACCTATTCCTCCATCCCTGGCAACCACCAATCTGCTCTGTTTCTATGAGTTCGGTTTTTTTAGATCTACATGTAAGTGAGATCATACAGTATGTGTCTTTGTCTGACTTATTTCATTTAGCATAATGCCCTTAAGGTTTACCTATGTTGTCACAAATGGCAGGATTTCCTCTTTTATGGCTGAATAACATATATACGTTTTTATACATATGAAAAAAATATATATATAGAAGGGATAAATACATATAATTTTAAAATGTAATAATACTCCATTTTGTATATATAAATAAAAAAGGAATATATATCACATATTCTTTATCCATTCACTAAAATCAAGCTTTTTTCTTAATTACAAAGGTATTTCCTATTCATTATTACCTGTTTATTATAGAAATATGGGAAGTTACTAGAAAACATGCACAAACACACATCCAGAATCCCACAATCCAGAAGAAATCTTTTTCCAAAGCCTATTCTTTTTTCCAAGCACAACTGTATGTGATTGTTTTCTAATTTGCTTTTTCATTTAGTAATACACTGTGAACCTTAAATTTTGTTTTATAACATAAATTTTGTTTTATAACATAATTTGAAATGGCCGAACAGTATTCCATTGTATGGAAATTCAATTTAGTTCATTCATCCTCTAACACTGAACACTGAAGTTGTTTCCAATTTCTTGCTATTTTAAATAACACTATGAGGATTATCCTTGTATACAAATCTTTGAACATATTTCAGATTATGTCATCTGAATGGAATTTTAGGTCAAAAGGTACGCACATTTTTAAGGCTCTTCAAAAAAAGCACCAATTTACATTCTGACCAATGAGTAATGAAAGTATGGGTTTCCCTACCTTTCTAAGCGATAGTTTTTATTTTTTCAACACTGTTAGTCCTTATAAATCTGTTAACTGAAAAAATTATGTCATTGTTTTTATTTGCATTTCTTGATTTCTAATGCAGCCGAACATAATTTTACATAATTATTGGCCATCTGTATGTTTTCTTTTGTTCATTTCCTCATTATGAGAACCATCCTTTTCTTGTTACTTGTATATGTTCTTTATAAATTGAAAATATTAATCCATAACCTTTTGTCATATACGTTAAAATATTTTTCTTATTTTGTCATTTACCTTTTGTTTCTGGCATCTGGGGCATAAAGAAGTTTTTAATATTTATGTAGTTCTCTCTATAAATATTTCTTTTATGTGTTGTTTCATAAAAGACACTGTTTTAAGTTTGTCCTGTTCAAATTTACCAATATAACTGAAATGTAACGCTAAATCTTGTCAAAACTAGACCACTCACAATTGGGTAATAAAAATTCAAAACCATAAATTTTGACAATGTCACATTTCTAAGACAAAATTTAAAATGCGTGCTTAAGGTAATAAGTTATCTTACTTAAGGACCCATTCCTTTAAACTTACGTGCTTGGCTCTGGTGTTGCAAAATCAGATTTATGCTTCATCACCAACTCAGCATGTTAACAGTAGCCATGTCATTCAGGAAGCCAAATATTTTCCATTTTGTTTGGAAATGGAAATCAGCAGTTAAGGAAGAAGGCCAATCTCTTTTCACATTACAGTGAATTTAATATTTTTACTTGATAATTAAACTCACTGCAAGATAAACTCATCTTTAACATATGTTTAGGATAAGCTTCAGCGTTTTCATTTATCATTACATGATTGAAACTGAATAACAACATAAAAATAAGGAATATTTGCATTGCATCTTTATATATTAGACCCTCCATACATTTTGGAGTAAGACTCTACAATGTCCAATTCTCACTATAATTCTCCTTCACTTTCTATCAGAAACAGAAAAAAAATCCTCAAAACATAAACCCACAGGGTGAACTGACTGTTTCATTTTGTAAAGGGCTGTATATTTCTGTAAATCTCGTTTGCTATTTTTCTCAAGCCTAAAAGATCACCAAAAGATTTTTAGAAACATTAAACAAAACGAAAAAATAGAATTAGCATCATTTCTGTGAGAACATTTTACCTAGCTTAAACTATGAATGAAGAATATACTATAGAATACTATAGTTGATAAATTCCAAAATTCCAATTTTTAGTGCTTCAACAGATTAAGTGCTCAACAATTTCTTTTTATAAATGCTACAATGGCATTTGTGAAGGTAGCTTATTTAAAACATTTCTTCCAGGTTGGATTTTTAAATCTCATTCTTTACAAAAACAGTGATTTGCCACCAGCTACAGGCTTTGAATTTTAGACAACACAAAACAGTTTTTTCACACTCTAATTTACTCTGAACTAAAGGGTGGAAAACCCCATTGAAGGCTTTTAAAACTCAACAGACATAGGAAAAAAAAAAAAGCTTTAATTGTAGGATCTCACTGACATAAACATAAGGAAATTCTGAGTTATAGATACTTCACATTAAGCTTTTTCCACTGACACTGTAACTTCTGTCAACATTCAAAGAAAATTCAACCCTGGTCAAAGGTAGCAGTTTGACAATCCTGGAAGTGAACATCCTCTGTTTATTTGAACTAGTTTACACTCTCTGCTCAGGGAACTCAAGTTTTTCTCATCCCTGACTTGATCTCTCAAATGCAAATCACTACACTTTAGGGTTGTGAATTACACATCCAAGATTTCACTTCACGATCCACCACCAAGGAAAAATGCTGAGAGAAAATAGGCATCGGATAGAAAAAGGAATACATTTCTGAAACTAGTTTCTACTGGCTCTTGCATACCTCTAACCACACAATAATTCATTTGGTTACCTTTTTCCCCCAAATTAAAATTCTTAAGTCTCAATCTCAGAAATCACAATTAGTAGCCCTAAAAAGCTTTTAAAAAGCAAGAATAGGACAATAACTTCCTTCAAAATAAACTTGTAAACAAAATGAGCCAGATACGGGCATCCTCAGTCAACAAACAGGTATGTCACATGCCACTCTGGCACAAAAGGTGGTTTTTGTTTGTAAATAGAGGCCAAGAATACAGCTTATAGCTCTTCTCCTATGACATACATGATAATGCTAAGGAAAGAATAACAAAGGACAACTTATCATTAAAATTAAGACTTTCTCTGTTTTAATATAATTTCTACCATGAATGTATAGATTAGTTGAAAAGACACTTATCATCACCTTCATAAACAAAAAGAATTCCAAATATATTATTATTTTTTTTTCTTTAAAGGAAAAACAAGAGTCTGTTTGGGAACACAAGCCTTAAAGAAACCACTGTCTTATTGCAAAGTTCCAGTTGCCTGCACTCCTTTGCAGTGCAAGGGTTAGGAATGCAGCCTCTGGAATTAGCATGGCCTGGATCTGGATCCAGCTCTGTCAGTCAGAGCAATGTGACCTTGGACAAGTTACTTAACTTCTCTGTGGTCATTTCTTCATCTTTCATCTGAGGATAATACCCACCGCTCTGAGGATCATGAGTTAAAACATGGCAAGAGCTTATTACACTGTCTGCTTGGCACCGTAAGTGGACTGTGTTAGGTATTATTTTTAGTATCTTTCTACTTTAGGTTTTGGCAATAATTTAATGACTTTTCTGATCAGTTTTTGAAAGATGGCATAATGATGATTATATAGATAATTACTATATCTTCCCAGATGAGCCCATGGTAAGCAGGGCTATAGATCACAGTGGTAAATAGTCATTTTTAATACAAACCAGGGATGTGGCTGTTACTGGTAACTTCGGCTTGATTTCCCATATGCAAAAAAATCCCCTACCAGGGGAAAACAAGCAGTATTAGAAAACACTTGGGTTTGTCCTGTTATCATTGCAGGATAAAGCCAAATTCACTTTTACTAGCCTGATGGGCATTGAAAATATTAGTCACCAAATTAATCCCAACAAATAGCAATAATTGATTGGCTCATTGATGTATTTCCCCTTGTCTTCCCCAACCTTTCTCTAACGAGTCAGAGAGGAAAGTTTTCATATTTTCTGAGAATCTCATTACTGCTCTCAAACCATACTCTATATCTTAGTATAATTAAAAAATGAGTCAGCACAAGCACTTCAAAAAACTAGCAGTGCATAGAATATGAAGATATTTCTCTTCATAATAGAAATCTGGGAAAATAAAAAGAGTTAGTCAGAGTGCCAAAGGCAATGGAAGAATAAATGGAGAGTGGGTATTGGAGTAGATTTTGCAAGCTAGCTTTCAAAAGATGAATAAATGTTCTTTATCAATCAATATATGTATTGTTTATCTTAATAGTATTATAATACATGGAAGATAGATGTAATTATTATGAATAAGCCCAAAGAAGAAAACGTCTACTATGTGACAAAATAACTTCTGCTTTCTTGAATATTGAGTGGAAATGGAAGGTCAAGATACTCTATGTATTAAACTCATTTGCAAATTACATAATGCATAACTGCATAACATGCTAATGCAGTATTACCTTTAGTAATGCGAAAATTTAGGAGAGATAAGCTGCCCCTAAACTGCAAACATAATTGAATTCCAATTTCATTAGGAGTCTATTTAGTCATTACATTTCTTAGAATAAAGTTAGTTGAAGGCCCAGAAAAGGCCACTTGCGTCTATCACTGAAACAATACTATTACATGCTCCTTTCAAGGATATACTTCTCCTCAAGGCTCCATATAACTCAGACTTTAACAGATTTATATAAGCGGTAACCTACCACGTGAAAATTACACAGGAGGGTCAAGGAAAAGTTTTATGGCTCAGGGTGATTCCTCCAAAGTTCTGCCACCATACCCTAAATTCCTCCTTGTTCTTGTTTAACTCCTCCATGACATTCGGTATGGCTTTTAGGTGAGGTCAGAAAAAGTGCTATAGTCACTGCTAAATACGTCGGGTTCTATATTATATAAACCTGTGGCAATTCCTCTTTGAAGGTTGACATTCAAGACTCCACATAACATGTTTCAACTCTTAGAGCTGTACATTTTCTAGGTACCTGGGAGGAAACAGATGGCAGCAGCCCCATTTTTCTGTTAATTGTGCCTTTGTTGTTGTTGTTGTTGTTTTGTTGTTGTTGTTGTTTTAAGATTTCTTCCAAGGTTGCTAAACCTTGAAGAGATTTGGGGAATTTTAATGCCTTGCCTTCCCAACTGTATATTCAGGCTGGGCTCAAAAAAGCTATCGTGAAGCAGGACGCCAGGTCACAGACAAACCACATGGCATCTGACACTTGTCTTTATGTTTCAAATTATAATGTGACACTATGAGAAGGTTAACATGTGGACCTAATTTTGAAAATACAAACAGGAAGCACCCCCACCCCAATATTACCATTAAAAAAAAAGGAAACCAAACCTCAAAGATACCTTCCAAGGAAGTCATGGGTGTGACCAAAACTAACAAAAGTAATGAAACGTCATCTAAAACCCTGAAACCACCAAAAGTGAGGGTCTCATTCGACCAATTAAAAATTTAACACCTATAAATCACTCCTCTCTTTGATTACTGAAAATAGCATAGACTTAAGATATGTAAAAACTTCTCCAAACTGGCTTAGGTTTTAGTAGTAAAGGATCATCATTAATAAGAAAACATCCAGTGTCAACATTCTACTTAAAATAAAGACATGATAATTAAGACTGAACAAAATTTTCAAAAGAAAATTTTTATCACTGTGATGCTCAAAATTTAAATGTACAAAAAAACTGGCTGATCAATGGAAACTAGATTGTTAAACCTGACTTTCTTATTCCCAGAAATAAGAATAAAACTCTCGTGTTTCCAACATTGCAGAGGAAAAAATACTTCTGATTTTAGAATAGTTCTATTAACAAAGCTCAAATTTAAAGAAAAGTTTTTTTTCCTGTAAATACCACACAAAATTGAGGACAGTGATACTTTAGAGCTAACTTTTAAACACTATTTTTATTAAGAAGTTCTAGAGTCTAAGTACTTTGATACTTTATTATGCAGGAAAGGTATATTTTTCTGAAGAGCTCAGTAACCTGGAATTGTCAGATAACTTTTTAAAATAAGTTTCAAATACTCGAAACAAATTAATTTAAAAAGAGAGGTTTTTGTTCCCTTTTGTAGGAATGTGATAATCTATACTCTTAACAGAAGCGAAAAATGTGTCACTGGTAGAACATCCAGAAATCTGCGAATGCTTTATGAACACATACATGTTTGTAGGGCACTAGAATAAGCTTCCTTTGATTCTACCTTCAACCTGCAATCTAATCTTGAGCGTTTATTCACCTACTTATAACATCCTCCTTTTCTGTGTGTGTGCTTTTTATTTCAACATTTTCCTTTTGTTAGACTACCTGTATTACCTACGTACACAAAAACAAGCCAAAGGAACCACCACAAGCATATTCATAAATAAACCTAACACAAATCACAAATAATTTAAATATAACTTGAAAAAAATTGACATAAGTACCAAAAAAGCAATAAATGACACCTTTTACTAGTCTTGATGTGGTTTTCGCATATGCAATTAAAATTTTTTTAAATCAATTGAGAGCAAGGAAATGAAGATGAAATGAGAAGTTGGAGCACAATAGGAAGTGCTGACCAAAATATTTATGTTGTAACGCTCCAAACAATGATAGCACTGTTTTCCCCTTCTATCACATATATAATGCAGTACCCATTTAAGAAACAGTTCCACCTTGAATTTCTTAACACAACCCATATTAATATCCTGTTAGCAAAAATGTGAATACTGAAAAGGCA